CTTTGGGGCCATAAGCGCTTTCTGCTCCAGCGTTACCTTGAGGACGTGCATGAGCCACATTCTTTCTAGCAAAGCGGGACCAGCAAGTCTCCGTCGTGTGTCCAATCTTCCCACACGTTGGGCAACGAGTATCACGGTGTGGGTTGGAACGACAACGAGTCGCTGAATGCCCTGGTTCCTTGCAATAGGAACATGTCCAACTCGTATCACTGTCCCCTGGTGTCTGTCGTTTCTTCATCATCAGTGACAGTTCCGCCAGCTGGTTGGTGATGGCATCAACCTTGTTCTCCAGCTTTTCCTGTCGAGGATCCACATCAGAACGCACCAGTACGCGCTTGGGCGTCACAGGTTCAACGGACTGCGCAGCAGTTTTCGCCGCCTTGAAGGCGTCACGGCCTGCACCAAAGTTTCACGGTCTTCACTAGTTCTTCGTACGTCGTCGGAGAACGATAGATCGCGAACTGAGCAACATCCAAATGTGCCATTACGGCATTGCGAAGCAAGCCGTACTTTGCCTCGTCGTTGAAACCAGCCCTTCTGTAGAGCTTGTCCATTTCATCCATCGAAGTAAGCAAGTTCTTACCATCCAGTCGGCAACTCATAGCCTTCTGGATGTTTTCTTCTGGCCTCGGTGTCTCCGTAAAACGGTCAGACAGGGCGCTCTTCACACCGTCCCAGTTACTGGCGGCCTCGGTCAGACTCCCATTATGACTATACGTTTCATAGTAATAGTCGAACGCGGCACCCTCGAGGTGGCATAGAATAGCTCCTGCCTTCTCCTCGTCAGGCTTGCCGCGCATAATGATGTTCTCGTATACGAACAGAAACTTGGAAACATCTGACCCGTTCGACCCATCGTAGGTAACAGGGTTAGGGCCCGCACTTGTGTCTGCGTCGGCCCTCCACAAGAGTACCATGTTGTCGGTGAAATGGGGGAGGCGGTTTTGGGGAGCGTGCCGTTCGTGGTGAGGGTTCGCCGAGTGTCGTCCCCCCTTCCCCGCAGCGCCCGTCACCCTCTCTCTTTTATTTCTACGAAATTCCTTCCAGAAGCGTCCACGCATCCGGCCCGGATTCCGCCGGGCTGTCCGTGTGCGCTTCTCTAAAATTCAAATAAAATCTCGGACTACAGAATAAAATCTCCCTCTACAGTAAAATGCAAATATTTCCCTAAAAATATCTCACACTGCTACTAGACTTGCTCTAAAAAAAAGAGCTATCAAGAGCTATCATAAGTACTACAGGACTGTATACAGGTCGTGTACTGTATTGCACCGCACAGTTTCGAGGCATGCCGTAGGCGTTCATTGAACCTTCTTCTCGTCCAATACAGTTATGCCATCATGGGTGCCCAAAAACCCCCTCAATACTGTACACCTCAGGGCCGTGAGGGCCGTTCCTAACGAAGAGTTCGCGGTGCCAGCACCCGAGCACCCGGACATTTGGCATGAATGTATTGGTTGAAAAAAGTATTGGAAATGCTTTTTACTCCCGTTCAACCAATCCATTCATGCCAAATGTCCGGGTGCTCGGGTGCTGGCACCGCGAACTCTTCGGTAGGAACGGCCCTCACTGGTCTGCACGATCTGTCTGTACAAGTGGTACCCTGGTACTATATGCCATTATAATATAATATAAAAAACATATAATAATAATATTATATCTGTGGCTCCATCCAGAGCTAAGACAGTACAGTAGATAAGGCACTGCCGTTAGGGCACATCAGACATGCTCATATTTAAGCCACCGTCGGTCCGCCCCTCCACAGGAACAGGGAAGCATCGGTGTTCTTGGCATTACAATATCCTTCGTTTCACAACGGGTCCGTCATCGCGGAGGACAGCTCCGGATGTGTCAACACATTTCTCCAACGCTTTTGTGGACGCGGGGATCACTCATGCTGTTGTCATGTGATACACTCGCAGTTTAGTAGGTGTAGATCTATAGCTTGTCAGAAGCATGACACCCGAAGTCGAACACATCCGTACTTTTTATTTGCCATGGAGAATGAGCTGATGCATAGTTCCATCCTTCCTCAACATATGAAAGCACTAGTTTTCGTTCATGGGGGATGCACTGAAGTAAACGAGCATCAAAGAGAAAAAGAACAACCATCCGAAATCTTTCCAGCAGAAACTGACTATAGTATATACGCATTGGCACACGTTCTCGATATACGAAAAAAAAAACTTTCGCTCTGTTTTAGATGAGTGCTTTTTAAAATTCTGGTACTATAGAAAAAGCATTCGGCCCCCTCCTCTTTTGCGATCTTCATTACACTGGTTTTACTTTTTTTTACGGGATAGGATGAGATATGTCGCCCTGTAAAAATAAGTTACCAGCTCCCGCTACGAGAAACAAGTTTTTAAGCTTGTAATAATTTATACAACTTTTTGTGCCCTTTTCCTGCCACATACGCCTTTATATTCCATGAGTCAAAAAGGCTGGGAACTTCCGATGCAATCAGGCTACAAATGGTCTACCAGATACAGTATGGCAGAAATTCCTTTGATCTCTAAATCGTTTATTATGTTATTTCTCTAACAAGAAAACTCTTCGGGTAATACGTTTACCTCGTAAACGTTTCTTTGAACTGGTATTTCAAAACTAAGAGCGCCATTAAACATATCCCATGCCTGAAGAAATGTCTACCTGTAAGAAATTTTACGAAACGGCCCTACAGAACGAGCCTTTAAATTGAGTCGCCTAGCTGAACGTAGACCTTCTTACCGGGTCTCGTGAAATAAGCACGTCCTTACGATATTCAAATTCTAAACTTGTCTGTTAAGGTTAGCATGTTGCAATCATTAAAAGATTTTCGCCTACGAATACGGAGTCCTTCGGCTCACATCAGTTTGATTCCGGGTTTTCGGTATGCGGATCGAGGTTTCATCCTCATGGAACAGGTGGCCTGAGTTTCTCTATTCCCAAGTCCGTACACCATGTTTTCTCACTTGCGATGAAGACATATCCATTCCGAAATGAATGCAACCCTGAAGCTACTCATATTGCGAGCCTCGCCTAGATCATGCAATAAAAGAATTCAGTGCGAAGCTCCCAAAAGGCTTCTCATGCAGAACCAGTAATGGCTTTTTCACGGAATGTCTCGGTAGTAACACTTCTCGTACCGCACACTGCTGATATGAGAGCGATAGATCATATACCGACAAAAAGCACTTCCCGAATTCTTAAAATAGGTGAAAAAGGAACTTCAAGAAGTAAAAGAAAATGATTTGGCTTCTAGACGTTTCCACTGCGCTGCCCGTCAAACAGTGCGCTTGTATAGCAGGCTAATATAATTGCAATAAAACATGCTCCGTCCTCTCAGGGCACGACAAGACGTACTTTGATCATTCCGTACATTTAATGCTCATGAGTACAGTATGGTTCGTACAGTACAGTAGTTGTAGTGTATCACCAAGATCTTTCACCATACAGGAGAAGGAGAAAGGAGCAAATATGAAGAAAGGTGACTACAGTATACCCAAAGTTATTCGTTCTCATGTTATAATTTGGCAACGTTGTTCCTCTTTGCTTCTTGGTGTTGGTCGGAATGTCTAGAAAGTCTTGGCATAACAATAGACAGATGTGCTGCTTCATTTTTTCAGCTCTCTTATGCGTCAGAGAGAAGACGGCTCGGATCAGTTTGCAATACTGTACGTCCCGTATGAGGGAGATATCTCGAAGGGCACGTCTCACATCGACCACACGTCGAAGGCTTTGTGAGACACAGCCAATTACTTTTTTCATTATGTTACCAGGATTAAGATATAGTTGAAGCGCTGATCAATTGATGCATGTTTCATACTTGTGTGAACTATATCCCAACGTCATCTCTGCAACTGTATCTGTAGAGCTTCCCTTCTGCCTTCTCGACCCTAACATTTCATAAATTGATGTTCGCATTGATGTCATACAGATCTACCCCCTCTGAAATTGCGGTCTAGTACAGCAGAAGAACGCGAAAGCATTCTGTACTTCAGGTATCCACGCATGAGTTTCAAAATCACGTCATACACTCATACAGTCACTCCCAGCGGTGCTGTTCGTATTAGCACCTATCGTAAAAGTTACCCCAAACTTCAAATATCTTCAACAGCAAGAAAGCAGGTCCGCAATTCGACACCAGCAGGATAAGAGCCCCTCCCAAGAATAGATCAGTGCCGTCAGTGCCATGACGGCAAAGAGTACCACTTGATTTTATCACCGCTTATCAGGCATAAACAATGTTCACTACCCGGTGCATTTCTTCAGGTTCATAAAACCATACATGCTTTTACAAATCGCGAACAGGTATTTTGAGAAGCCGTTATTACTGGAAACGTTAGAGCGAACAGAGTGTATTTCTTCTTTCTACAATGCAGGAGATAGGCGTAGGGCTCGTTTCACTCTTCCACCTGCATAAAACACATCAAGCTATTACTTTGCGGAGACACAAAGAAGAAGTTTATTGGAGAACCACGGCTTGAAGTTTTCCTACTGGCTACTCTCTACAAACTCCAGCTTCCTGTCATCTTGTTGATTGCGTTTCCGGGAATACCGAGGACATGTTAATGCAGACCGATAGCAGTATTTAAGCTGAAACTCCTTTGTAGTCCTCGTCAAGAAACTCCAAACGCCCACCGTCTCACAGGTGCAGTATTAAAACCCCTTGAAACCTCAGTTCCCGAAACCTACCGAAGACGATGATCAAGAAGAACAATGTGTTTTCCGGGCTGTGCATACCGATATCGCTCGTTGTCTTTCTGTTATGTGCGAGACAGACACATTCTCAAGGAGTTTCGTCGGAAGTAAAGGACGCTAAACTGTGCCGTGCTGTCGATGTTTGCCTCAAAAGGATGGATGTTGGCAAGAAGTGCAAAATTTTTCCCGTTCCAAAGAAGGCGTTCATCCGTCCGTTCCCGCCGAGTACCTTTGAGCTCGTCCCATTACGAAAGGGTGTTTGGGCATATCAAGATGGGATCTATATCTCCCTCATTCTAAAGCAGGATGATCGCTTGGTCATGGTCGACATCGCAGAATCTTTCAACTCAAACAAGCCCAATGGAAGCCAGACTCTCTACACAGATGCGGCTGAAAAAGTTCTTAACGGCACAGTTCCAAGAAGAATTGATATCATTTACTCTCATGGACATCTCGACCATATTGGATCAACCAATCGGTTCATTCGTTATATGGAACGTCAATATCCGCGTTCGCGGATAGTTGTTTGGGGAACGCAGGAATCTAAAGAGGTCATCGAAAAGTCGGTGACTGATAAAGCTCCGATCCCGGATGTGATCATCGGGAAGAGAGGCCGTACGCTTGCGTTGGGCGAAGGTCTCAGTGTTAATATGTGGATTGTTGGTGGTCACACTGCCAGTGACCTCGTCATCCACATCCCTCGCTATGAAAGGGAGGTGCCAATTGTTTACTATGTTGATGTTGTGTTTCCTGGATGGTCTCCTACTTTCAATTTGGCAATTACAAATGACGTCGGGAGCTACATTGGAGCACAGAAAGAGGTTCTCAAGCTTGATTTCGAGGTTTTTGTTGGAGGTCATTTTGTTCTTGGCGACCGCCAAAGTGTGGCCACTAATGTTGCTTTTGCGGAGGATCTCGTTGAAGCGGCCAAAGTGGCCATTGCTGAAACGTCTCAGGAGGACTTTGATGCTGCTGGGTTCAAGAGGTTCAGCGATCCCGACGCCCGAGAATATGGAAACCCCCTCTTCTTGGTGATGACGACGTTTAGGCAAACGCAGGTTGATGTGTGCTATCGGATTATGCTTGAGAAATGGGGCTGCCGTATCGCTGGATTTGACATAAGCGGAAAAGGTCACTGCTTTACCGCGCTGGCCTATATTGTGACGGATTATTGACAAGCATGACGTATGTTTCTGGCGTGAGCTCTGTTAGTACAGTAGTATTTGGTCGGAAGTGAACTTCTCGTGTAACGCGTAGAAGCACTCTCCACCGATTGGTGTCTGCCGATTGAGAAGCCTCTCTGTAGTTCAGACCCATATACTTGTACCTCTCAAATAAAGAAGAACAATTGCTCAACGTTTTTTATTCGCACCCATCGAAAGTTCGGCAGCCTACTCGTTGGCATGGCAATATAGTAACTTAGAATTCTCACTGAATGTAATTATACAGACACAATGTTGTAACCGATCGCTGTGTAACAGTGGCTTCGGAGCATGAGATCCAACCCAGCCAAAGTACAACCCCACCTCGCAAGCATTTCGCGATAGCACATGTCTATCTGCAGATTTAGTTTGACTTCAGCAGCCCACCAAATATTCCCAAATTCTGGGGCGGTGCGGTCGCCAACCCGTTCAAGTCCAGCGTCCATCTGTTTCACTTTTGACAGCGTTCTCCCAGCAGTTCTCAGAAGATCTTGTGTGAAACGCAGATTTCGTCTAACATCCTCCTCTGTTCCAATGTGCACATGACCTCCCATGAAGAAGTCTACGTCCAGCTCAAGGATCTTCTTGTGAACCGCAATATATTCTCGTACGTTTGTGGTTGCTGCCAAGTTGCGAAAAGGTGCCCATCGCGGATAGATGATGTCCACTATCATGACCACCGAAGCTTCGCCGTTTTGCCGTGGAATGTACACCAGTAAATCCTGCTCAGAGTGCCCCCCAACGGCAGACAATTTGACATCAAGATTAGGACCCACGCTCAACGTTCGAACTTGATTGCTGACAATAATGTTCGGGATCACGGCTTTCATCGACCGGGACAGCTTGATTTCCCTGCGGGTCTCGTCGGAGCCCCAAACTTGAATGTTTGTTCTAGGAAATCTTTTTCTAATGAAGTTAAAGTATGGTTCGGCAGCTCCAATGTGATCAAAGTGGGCGTGCGAATACACCATGTCAACCCTACTCGGAACAGTGCCGTTCAAAATTTCCTTAGTCGCCGCCACGAGTGTGTCGAAACTGGCTTCGGGAAAGTCAATGACAGCGAGTCTACGGTCAACTTTAAGAATAGCTGACTGATGAACTCCGTCGAAGTATGTCCATACGCCTGTTCGCAACTCAGTGAGATTGTAGGTGCCTGGAGCGACGAGGGGAAGTAATGATAGCTCTGGAACTGGCAGAAGAGGACATTCTTTTTGTCCTCTTTCAAGCCGCCTTACACATGCACGCACAGGAAGGCAAGCGCCTTCTGAGTCCGGACCTTTGCGGCGATTAACTGTAGAGATTCTTGCATTCGCCACAGTGAAGAACAGAGCCAGTAATGCGACTGCAGTGCAAAACGAAGATGCGACCCTCATGACTCTATGTTAATGGCAAAGGCGCAAACGGGGGGCAAAGATGATGTCTGTTGCGGAGCAGTTTGGAAAGAAAGCTTCAATGGAATGAGTGAGACAAGTTAAAAGGCCTTCTTAGCAGCGGTATGCCCGGTCTTAAATGAGGATGTATTCCTCGCAGCAACAGAGCAAAGCTGAACAAAATTCGCAGGAATGCAATATTTGAGCTCGGAGTGTCTGCAAAGACTCTTATGCAGTATAGCGGAGGGGGATACGATGGTCTTTATACTGTAGGTGATTAGACTCATGCGCCACGTCGTGTCCCCTTCGAGGTAAAATTCACTGCACTGACGGGACTGTAAATGCTGTAGGAAGAGAAATCGCGATGCCGCACAAAGGCAGTGCTAAATTATACAAGGCTTCGTTCTCCACTGCTTGAAATTGTAGACTGTGGTATGAACTCGAAGACTCGGAAATACAGGATGTTGCCTGTATTGATTTTCTGTAATGCATTTTCCACAGTATCTCTGTTCTAAGACTGTTTGCTGCTTTGCAGAGGACCTCAGTGCTGTTGAAGAAAACGATACACCCAATTTGCATACAGGTTGTGTCATCTCCAACTGCTGTACAGTGCAGTATTGTACTCGTTCAATCTCATTTAATTCTCTGTCGTGACATACTCTTCCACACTGGTAACAGCGCGTGTGTTTGATTTTGACAGCAGTGTGAACGCATCACGACAGCGTTGCTGTGTCCTACATCTTTGGTGAATAACGGTAAACTCAGGCAGACTTGGCTAACGTTGATATGTTAGTGCTGCATGGAACAGGATCCCGTGCTTACGGAGATGACATGGAGGATCACAACCAGGGAGAACCCGTCTCACAATTGGGAAGAGACCGGAACTTGCAGATCCATTACGTCACCAATTTATAACTGTATGCGAATAGGTTTCAACCTACGGGATGCACGCTCTCGTCTCATGGTCTTGGATGCAACATGCCGTGCCGCACTTCCGATCATACTGTGCATAGCATTACAGTTACTGTAATGAATGTAAAGAAGGATGCTGATGTGGAACCGAGTCTGGAGATTGATCACGATTAACTGTAAATTACCTTTATTAGAGCATCTCCAGCGCTGCAGCTAAATCTATTCCAATTAGGACGCGTGTCAGTTTTCTAGCTGGTCGCTGTCTTTGGGCACCCCATGTTCCAAATTGTTTGCAATGCGCTATGCCGAATGCGCTGCTCGTCTCCATCGCGCGCACTCGTTAACCCGCAGGACGACATGGACTCTCTGGACGACTTTGGCGCCCTAAAACCGATGGCGCCGCTGGAGGCGGTCGAAGGCAGCGCCGCTGCGCAGGGGAATGACGAGTGCGACATTGAAGACTTCCTTACAGACGATGACGAGGATGACGTGATTTCGGATGCCTTTTGAGGACCAGTTGTTCTGTTTTTCGCGCCCACATGTAGTTGCTAGCTGGCTTCCCGCCACCCCAGGTGTTTCTACTGTGAGATTTAATCAGAATTAATGGTCGCGCGCCCTAATCAGCTTGTGACGAGCTCGTGGCAATCATCGCTTTGGGATATATCTCGTTGCAAATCGGCCTGATTTGCCACGAGAAAAACTCCAAACGCCGATTTAGAATTCGATTTACGATGCAATTTGCGTTCTTGTGTCGCGGTGGAGACCAAACTTTACCCTGATTTGGTAAATATCATATTTGAACCGAATTTGCTGCCGCGGTGGAGATGCTCTTAGGGCCTCTCGGTAGGGCCTCTCGGTCTTCTACGTCATTCGCGCGTTGCTTCACTACCGCATGTCTCGATGGGAACGAGAGGCGGAAGAAGAACACACACACTCATGGACTGCGAGTTAGGAACGGCACTGAGACTGGTCATGCCTATGATCTTCTCGCAGTGTGCTACACGAGGGTGCTCCACCTGTGCTCCAAGAGCACTGCACCATTCGGGCAGACATTGTTTCTCTCTTCTTAGCAGGCCATGAACTGACGCAGAAAGCGCTGGAAGGAGAAACCCGCGAAATGTTGGCCATCAAGTGACGGCAAGCAACTGCTTCCCCTTTGTTTCGTTTGCCCCACGGCGCGTAGTAACCTAGTTTTCCGAAACGAACACACTGTACCCTTCAGAAGGGTATGCGATCGTCATGCAACTTAAATCGCTGCCTCCACACGGCAAGCATCAATACTCTCAATGGAGATTTGCCAAGTAAAGAGTACAGGGTAGTCATCGCCCATTGCGTCAGAATCTCGCATCAGCTACACCCAGGATCTAGTGTCACTTACAATACTTCGGTGACGACAGTAAGAACGACGAGACCCAAACTAATGTCAGTGACACTAAACCAGTTCTGACACTAAATTAGACCTGGGGGAAATGCTGTAACTTCACTCCATTTCCATCTTTCCTCTCTTCTATAGCAAAGAAAGACTACGTTACATCTCATACTCTTCATACATCGCCACTTGTAGTGTACTCTTAGGGTGCCTCGTAGCGTCAAACAAGACTCCATACTTTCCAATTGCAAAAAATTATGTTGCCAGTCTCCCTCGGGCCGGAGCCAAGACTTGCAATTTTGTTGCAATCACGATGGCATGACCTCATGAGACTTCTGCGGCGACCGGCTTTCAGTGCCTGGCACGTATTGGTGTCTCATATTCAGGGTACCCTCTGAATCGCATTGCAAGAGGCACAGCAATTGAATTATCCAGCACCTGCGTCATCGTACACGCGCACAAGGTCTTCGATTAACGTTGGGGCTAGTGTGATTGGGCACTTCTGTGTTTGTTGCACTTGCTGGACGATGCAAAGATAGCAAAACACATATCCAGATGTAGCCTATGCGTTTTTCGCGCAAAAGCGCAGCTGATGTCAGTATATATCTTGCGTTCAGCGCTTTTGCTATTGGGCCTGGAGCGATGCGAACATTGCCAATTAACTTACACATGCAGTCGGACTGTTTCGTGGCTTGTGGCATATCGGACACATTCCAGGTGTTAACGCCGTCTTGCGGTCGATCCCAGGCGCTGGCATTAGTGGTTGTGGCGGCGGAATTATTGGGCCGGACTCTCGAGGCATTGAAGCCTTTTTCCGTTACGACAAGATGTGGCAAACGCGAAGCCAGTGCGTTTGCGATAAAAACCAAAGGGGAACATGTTAGTTGCTATTCAAATTGGTGAGAAAAACGGGTGAACGATTGCTTTGAGACCGTCACAACAAACCTCTGCCGCGTAGTAATATTGCAAAAAGCGAAATGCAAAGATGCTTGCAAAAAAGCCTGTCTTGAATATACCCAGAATACGTTCGGAAGCTGCAGATGCTACGTTCGACAACGAAATACCTGTGGCTCCAGGAGAAGAGACAGCAGAAGACCTGGACATGTCTAGCAATAGCTCGCCCGCACTCAATCGACGCAATACTAATCCCTGCAAGGCAAGGGGGAAGGAAAAGTGATTCGTGTGACCAAACAGATACATAAAATTATATGCCAGGTTGATACTTTCTCCAACAGAAGTAATTCGGGGATACCATTTCAAGGCAAGTCTCCGAAACGCCGGCCCCATTACAAAATTTCTGACTGCTTCATACCTTCGTTGCAGCTCCCTCATATAAACCTTGAGAAACGCCAACCGACTGGATGGATTATGCAATAGCAGACTAGCGTTTGATACGGATGGGGGCTGGCTTGCGTTGTCATCGTTATCAAGAACAGGGCCAACGGAACCTATGTGCGAATCGAAAAGCTCCGCAGCAGCGCCTCCCGTTGCGTTGGAGTACCACATATCCAGCTTTGACTTGAAATGCGGTATCACCACAGAGAAGAAAACACTCAGAACGATGTGCTTTCTGGACAATGGAGCGAACTTAAGGTCGTTGGCTTGAAAGGACACAGCTGCTGTTCTCCGCAATGAATAGAAGGATTCCGAAAGCAATGCTGAATCCTTTCGAAGCTGGGATGTCTCGAGAACGAGCAGTAGACTAGTAAAGATTTCATCAGACCGAGATGCAAGACGAACTAATCTCGGATACCGCACGGATAGCACCTCCAAGACGAAGCGAAGCGCAGGCCTCAATGCGGCGCTCAAGTGCTGTGCGGTGTACAACTCGAAGAAACCAGGGCGGTATGGTTCGGTGTCGCTCATGATGCTACTCGGATTTCTCGAGACGAATATGTTACGCCTGTAAAAGGGGTGCGAAGAACGTAACACCTCTTGCGTGGATTGGCAGGCTCCTTCGTTTGTGAGAGGTCAGGGGTGCGGGAGTGCGTCTGGCATGATGCTCCTGGTGTTTGGGGTGGTAGCGTCTGACTTGCTCTGTTCTTGCTGATATGCAGGCTCTGATTTCAATCGATATGGAAAGGTTATCTCACACTACGGCACAATTTCTTTGCATGGGAAGAGGATCACCCAATCCTCATACTTCCACAGTCAACGTGCCGGTACAGTACGACTACCCTTCATCTGAAGGGTAGCTGCAGGTTGGACAGAAAAATTAATGCAAAATCCCCTTTTTTTTCATTTTCTTTAGTTTGAGAGTGTACTGTAGCTACAGCTATTCTGCTCATTTGTAACACCGCCGAGATCACATCTTACCTCAACCACTGCGGGGAATCCCTTCCCGGTTCAAAAGACACGCCATCGCTCTGAGCAGCGAGGAAACCTGACAACAACCATGGCAAAATCGAAGAGCATTCCGGCTTGCACAAAATTCAATGACCTGACCGCGTTCAATGCCCCATTTCTCTCATTCCGGCGACAGTCGCCGTGGAGCTCAAAATGCGCATGTTCGTGGAGCGCGCGGCCAACATTCCACGCTGCAAGGAGTTCGTTCGCAGGAAATTGGGTCATCGGACGAGTAAAACGTCACCCGAAAGAGTGCGACTCGCTGCGAGTTACGCCTCGAGCCATGTTTTCGGGCAGCGGGATTCTGGGTGTCGGACCGTCGGAAGTTTTCGTGATAGTAACTGTAGGTTGGTTGCTTCTCGGCCCCGACAAAATGGTGAAGCTTGCGAAGGACGCGGGGCAGCTACTGGGGAGAGTGCGGCGAACGGCAGATGAGGCGAAGGATTCGTTGAAAGATGCTATTGATCTAGATATGCTATCTGAGGAGGCAAACGCGATTAAGACGGAATTTGAGGCGGCGGCTGCTGGGATAACGGAGCCGCGAAAACGCAAGGGGGAAACGAAAGAGTCGGCGAAAGATTCTGGGAAGGGCTCAGTGAAGGACTCAGCGAAGGGTCTAGAAGACGATGTGGCGGAGGCCATGCCAGGTATTGCAGATATGGGAGAGAGTGACCTGACGAAAGAGATGGGTGCCCCGATGACGGCAGAAGCGCAAATGCCAGCGCCAAATGGCGAGGTTAAACCTGGTCTAGACGCAGGGGGGAGTTCTGCGTTCCTTGACCAGTTGCGACGTGTTGCAGATCCTAATCAGGTTGCTCCAGCTGAGATTCAAGATCTCGAGACTGATGTTCAAGAGAACGAGGTGGAGAGGTTGGAACGTGAATATCTGGCAGCGAAGGAGAAGTTAGAGAATAGGCGGCGTGAGCGAGCAAAGGTTGACGGTAGGGATGACACCAACCATGGGACTGGAGAGCGGTAATATGGCACATTCAGTCGCAATGTTTATACAAACAGTCACTGGGGGCCTTTACTAGGGATCCGAGACTCGG